TATATTTTGTGTGTGTGTATGTATATAATATATGTAGTTGGCATCTCTGATAGAATTTCCAGAATTTTTTTTAAACTTTTTGTGTTAATTACCAATGACTACAAATTTCAATCCTATGTATTTGTTTTGAAATAAACAACCAGAAAATGATACTTGGAAATATAACAGAAAATTGAGGGCTCAATTAAAATAGGGACAACAAATGTGTTAGCTTAGGTTATGTTTTTTTTTTTTTGCCTGAATCATTTCTATAAACATTACCAATGTTTGAGGCTTCTTATGTGAGAAGCTATAATACTAATGGAACAATTCTTATGGTAATTTCAAAGATTATTACACAATGGTGAAGCACAGAAAAATCTCATTTGAGTTATTTGGTTGATACAATATTTCCTGCAAAAGGGCCTATTGCATGCAAAATATTAGGTAATATCTAAGCAATATCTACAAAGTTGGGAAACATGAAAATTATAAGGTCATAATATAGGAAATTATTGCATATAACTAACCAACTGTTTGATGAAGCCAGAATGTGTATTTTACCCACAGGAATGATTAGCTATAGAGTCATTTTTATGGTTTGAATGTGAGGTGTCCCTAAAAGCTCACGTGTGAGACAATGCAAGAAGGTTCATAGGAGAAATAATTGTGTTGTGAGAATCCTAACCTAATCAGTGATTTAATGCCATGATACGGATTAACTGAGTGATAATTAAAGCATAGAGTGTGGCTGGAGGACATAGAAATTGGGGCATGGCTCTGGAGTATATATTTTGTATCTGGAGAGTAGAGTCTCTACCTCTTGGTCACCATGATGTGAGCTGCTTCCCTCTGCCACCCTCCCCTGCCATGATGTTCAGCAGAGGGAAGCAGCTCATGTCCCTGAGGAATGCAGTCAGACTTGTATGGGCTTAGACCTCTGAAACTGTGATTCCTCAAACTCTTCCTCCTCTACAATCATTCTGGTTGGGCCCTTTAGTCACAGTGGTGAAAAATCTGACTAAAACAGTGATCTATATCAAAATATCAACATGGGTACTCAAACGTGGGTCCAGTAAGTACTATACATCCTATTTTGCTTCATATACTTCCCTGTTTCTCTCTTTCCTATGACCTATGCCTCTGAAGACATTTGATATTTTTCCAGCACTTTAAGTTACTTTGCACCTTTAGAATAGCATGAACATATACTCTTATCAGTTAGTTTTTTCTGAGTGTGCATCACACATAAACACACATTTTGGTTCTTTAGTGTTTGAGGGGGTTACCAGGGATTGAACTCAGGGGTACTCAGCCACTAGGTCACATCCCCAGCCCTATTTTGTATTTTACTTAGAGAAAGGGTCTCACTGAGTTGATTAGCATCTCCCTGTTCCTGAGGTTGCCTTTGAACTCCAGATCCTTCTGCCTCAACCTCCTGAGCTGCTGGGATTACAGGGTGCGCCATAGCACCCAGCACATATTTTGTTTATTTTCAAAGTATATATTATACTAATGCTTCATGTATTGCATTCATTAGAAAACATGCACATATATTAGAAAATGTAAATTTTTGAGAAAATGATTAAATAAGCAGTATTTCCACAAAGACATTCAAAAAAGGGTTTAGCATATGATTCTAGCTTTGAAATACTTCTATTTGAAGTGAATAAAAAAAAAACATTAATTAGATGCCACTAGTGTTTCAGAGTGTGCTGCTTATATGAGACCTCATTTTAGAAGTCTGATGATTGTAGAATTTGTTAACTAAGGGAATGTATGTGATAGAATTTAGCAGGTCTTCAAAAATAATCCAAGTAGATGATATAAACTCAAGCATAAAATCACACAAATATTTTGATTACAGACATATGGAAGGATAGGATCATGTTAATGATATATATCAGAAATGAAAATATTATAACAGTTACCAGCCTCTAAGATATTGAAAGAAACACTAGTATATTGCATTTGTGGGACAGACATATAGGACATCTGCAAATACACTACCATTATTCCAATAAATTAATTTGTAAATTACAGAAAGGTAGAGCCAATGACTTCTGCAAAGAGCAGCTTTTCTTTTTCTCTAAAGGTCAGATGGAGATGTACTATGAATAATATCTTGCTTAAATGAACACTCCTGACAATCCAAAGAGTGCCTAACATAGGGGCAATAGACAAAATTGTCCCACCTAACCAGACATACATACGCTTTCATATAAATTACGTTGGTTCATTCAAGCATTTAATTGTGTATAGTGATATTGAGAATAAATGTAGATGTTCAGGTTTTTTTACATTTATTTTTTAGTTTTAGGTGGATACAAGATCTTTATTTTTATGTGGTGCTGAGGATTGAACCCAATGCCTCATGCATGCTAGGCAAGTACTCTACCACTGAGCCACAACCTCAGCCCGTAGATGTTCAGTTTTTGATTAAGTGTAGACACTAAGATCATCATAAAAGTTAATAAGTAGTCTTTATAATGTGAACTTGCAAGGAAGGCAAAAAAAGAAAATAACTATAAAAAAATAAAACAATGTAGAAAAAATAAAAGGTTGTGAATGGATTCTATACACAATCATTTTTCTTGGTTATTATTGGAGGAAGTTAGCAACTATTTCCTGAAGACGGCGTGGAGGTTAAAATTATAATCCCACTGCAGTATTCCTTAATATTCCTGGAACTACAGTTCTCAAAGACTACATCTAGATTCAAGAACAGACTTTTATGTATAAATATGATCTAGAGAAAAGATCAGCAAACTACAATTGGTGAGTCACATCCAGCCCACTGCCTGTTTTATAAAAGAAATTTTATGGGAAATTAGCCACTCCCAGTCATTTATGTATTATCTATTATTGCTTTCATAATACAATATTAGAAGCTGGATGTGGTGGCACACACTTGTAATCCCAGTGGCTCAGGAGGCTGAGGCCGGAGGATCATAAGTTCAAAGCTAGCCCCAGCCACTTAGTGAGTCTCTGAGCAACTGAGACTCTATATCCAAATAAAATGGAAAACTGGGCTGGGGATGTGGCTCGGTGGTTAAGTGCCTCTGGGTTTAATACCTGGTATAAAAAAATATAAAATATTAGAGTTGATTATGTACAATAGAAACAATATGTCCTATAAAGGGTAAAAATATTTATTTTTTTGACTTTTTTTACTGTCCTTTTTTTTTAAAATTAAAGAACATAAGTCTTCAATTAGAGTCCAACAAGCAACTTCAGAACCTGTCCATTTGTCTCCATCAGAGGCACAAAATTATTTGTTCCCTCTTATACCAACCATTATTTTTTAAATTCTAATTTGTTATATATGATAGCAGAATGCATTACAGTTCATATTACGCAAAACAAATGCTGAATGTTTTCTCTGATATAAGGAGACTGATTCTTAGGTTGGGAGGGGGAGCAATGAAAGATTAGAAGAACTCTAGATAGGGCAAAGGGGTGGGAGGGGAAGGAAGGGGGTATGGGGATGGGAAAGATGGTGGAATGACATGGACATTATTACCCTAAGAACATGCATGAAGACACAAATGGTATGAATATGACTTTGTATACAACCAGAGATATTTTTTGGCTTTTTAGAGAAAAATATCTCATTAATGGTTCTCCAGGAAAGATAGAAACTCTTAAAGTCTTTGAGAAAACTAAGTATTAGTGCAAACATATCTAATGATTAAACATATATTTCCTATATTGGAAAATAATTTTGACATTTATTTAAACTTTGTGATATTTTACCCTAAATGTATTATATATGCACATATAGAACTGCATGGTTGACAGTATACAGTTTATTCCAGAATGTAGATTCAGCCATTCTCCAAAAGTCCTTTGAAGTTTCTTTTCTGATTTTTTTAAACAAATTTTGTTTTCAGGACCACACTGTTTTGATATTCTAGATCCTTGTGTCTGAAGAAATATTTTACAATTGAGAATTTCTATTGAGATTCTTGAAGCAGACTCACTTTGTAGCAGATTTTCCAAAGGACTGCATTTGCTGTATTTGCCCTGGATCCTCGTGCTACTTATTACACATGACTGACCTAGGAATGAAATGGATCATAAACCATTCAGTACCCTTTTATTTTATTTTAAAAGTTGAATTTGTGTCTTACTGAAATATCTTAAATAATTTACCTGGATATTTCTTTTTTTTTTTTTTTTATAATGGAGCTTCCCATCTTTTTAGTAAACTATTCATGTATACCAACACTTTGCATTTCTCTCCAGGTCAAAATGTCTTTGTATAAATGTCCTTGTGTCTTTAATGATGTTATATGTCAGTAGAACAATGATTTCCACAATTTACTTCCTATTAGCTATGTTACTGTTAGGGTCAAGTTCTGAGTAGATAAAATTCCTGCATCGT